TCAGTCGTGGAAGGAGCATGCGCGGTCCCCGCGCATGTCGTTCACATGGTTTTCCTAAAGCGTACTGAATGAAAAACTCGAGACATTTAGCGAATTTTCGTTAAATTTAGAATTTTTTTATTTACTGTTACGGAATTTTGATCATTTTCAGGGAATTTAGGATTTGCAAATGCTGATACTTTGATGTCAAACGCTCCATGGTGAAGCTTCGGCAAGTTTTTATTTTTTTCAAGTAAACTTCACTCTCAGTTTAATGAATGCACCGTCAAAGGCCCCGGTGTCGGTAATATGTGGCATATGGCATAATTACAAGAAGAAACGCGTATGATGAGAAGTAAGTCTGATTTATTATTGTTATCGGGAGAATTTAGGTAAAGAAGCTGGTAGGAAACAACTGCATCTCTTCCAACGAAATGACCACGGTCATTCAAAACGTAAGTGATGCGAGGCGTAAGTCGAGATTAATACTGTAAGTCTGAATCTATCCTAGCAAGTTAGCTAACAAAAATGTTAGGATTTAGCTCAATTCGTAGGCACTCACTTGGAGCAAGGTGAGTCAACAGTTATAAAAAGCTAGTTTTTAAATACCAAGGACAAGTTTAGGTTCATCGACAGCACCTCAACTCTTCTTGCGGAAAACAATCTTTTAAAACTGTTTTTGTATCATTACCCCGGTATAAATGTATAGCTACTCATGCTCCGTCTACTCACAGTAATACCTGCTCCTAACGCAGGTTTAATAAGTAATATAAGAGCTTTTGGCAAAGGAGGAAAAGCTCTCTGGGCCAGTTGACGGCGAGAGGCCTGCAAAAAGTCCCGCGCATTCTCAGGTCCCGCGCGACGGCCGGCGCTCCCCGAAATACAAGGGACCGATACCAGTCTCGGTTGCGCGCCAGTGCACCTGCCGGCTTTCACGCATTTGGTCGCGCAACGTACAGCGCGAAAAGAACCGAGTAATCCTCTTACTAAAGCGAAACACGTATTGCCGGATTCTGTCTTCAGCAGGCAAAGCATCCAGGCGATTTGGTGACTATCGTAGATCCGTCCTTGTTTCATTAGTACGGCCGGCAGATTTTCTGACGCGCCCCGATTTTCTCTAGATCCTCGAAAACCAACCAATCCTGCTTTAACCCTTTTATTCAAATGACAATATTGTTGTAGGGCTTGTCGTTCGAGATATACGAAGCAGCATCACAGCTCTCATAGCCACAGCAAGAGATGCAGTCACCGCGACCCTGGCTCCAGGCGGTTCCATCATTTTTGCGGAACGTCCAGTGGCAAGTGTTGTTGCCGACCACTTGGAATTCGCCGTAGTATTCTAAAAAAGAATTTTAGGATTCTTAAAAGGCTAGTAAACCCGATCCTTTGAGCGGCTAGGTCTCGACAAATTTGGTATTCGCCAGAATGTATTATTTTAGCATCCCCTAAACGCCAGCAAGAGAATTTCGTCCGGTTTTTGGCGTGCGACGTAACTGTCGAGACCTAGCCAAAGGTAAGGGTCGATGAGCCTTCTAGGTAACTTTACAAGTCTGAAATAGTTTTTTAACGATTTGAAAATTGGAATTAAAAGATACAAATTAAAGTATAAAAAGTGCTTCCGGGCTTTACGGTCCCTTTAGGCCTACCTCTGATCGAGTCTTTATCCGTCTGGTCCAGCGAAAGGCATTGGATTTGGTGGGGCTAAGGTAGTTTTTATCATTTTCTAAATCTTGTTTTCGATACCCCGGTCAGCGCCTCGGTGTTGGTATAGATTTTCAGGTAAAACCTCGTGGCATCCCCATCATTTTTATCGGTCTGGATCGTACAGTTTTTGCCTGAAAGAGGAGGGATTCATGGGAAATTTTGGGAGTTTGTGTAATAGTAATACAAGCAGATATAACACTACGCATGCGCTATGAAAATAAGAAAACTAGATACCACTAGTATACATCTCGCCACGGCACTCCCCGTAGAGATCGTTCGGTGTGAAATCGTCGACTTCCTTCAGTTGCATACGGTATTTGTCGTCACCCTAAATTGGCTCCTCATCGTGGCGCAGCTTCAATCGTAGCTTAAATCGCAGATTTATTAGTCCAAATCAGGCTGCTACAGCTGAATATTACGCTTCAAAAATACTAAATTGGATCCCTTTGGTCTACGGGTGGTAGAAAGCGCCTAGATCGTCTTGTAAGTTTGCGGGGGTCTGATCGAAAAATCGCCTGATCGAAAATCGCCTGATCGAAAATCTCCTGATGAAAAAATCGCCTGATCGAAAATCGTCTGATCGAAAATAACTCAAAAAATTTAGGGGGTTCTCCAGGCTTCTAAAATGTGTTAAAGCTAGTTTTTGAGTTATTAACGATTAGACAATTTTCGATTAGACGATTTTCGATCGGGTCGCCCCATCGTCTAAAGTATCTCGTCTTTC